TCCCCATTCGCGCTCTTTGCCTCTCCTGTGTCCCCCCTTACGCCAAAACCTGGGAGGGAGGAGATCACTCATTATTTTAAAGACACAGCACTTCTCTGACTACATAACAACCCTTCAACTCCTTTACACCCCCCCCCCCCCCCCCCTCCTCCTCGTCTTCCCCATCTGCCCCCCGATGACCCACGCCTCCCCTCCCCTCCCTCCCCCTTCTCTCGTTCCTGTCAGTCGAAAAACAAGACTCCATTTTGCGAGTGAGCTGCCTCCCCTCATGGCCCACTAACATTTCCCTTTGTGTCAATGGTGACACATGCTAACCGGTTAGCACCAAACAACCTGCGGCTAACGCATGATCATTTCATGAGGAAGAAGTTGATGAGTTCACAAAGTCATGTTTTAAGACGTCCAAAGATTACCAAAAACTTCTCTGGTGAAAACATGATTCAAACTTGTGCTTTTTTATCATTATTTATGGAGATGCAAGTCTAATATCTGTGTCTTTTATATCAACAAACTGAATAACATTAAACTGATGCTTTTGCATGTTTTCTTGATTGAGTAACGAATCGAAGACTTTATTGGTAGCTATTGTTTTTTTTGCGTTAGCTTTTGCTGACACAATATTTGACAGATCTGTCCAATAAAATAGATTTGTTTCTTTAGCGGCTACGTATTGTTTTTAATGCTTAAACTTTTATTACCAGGAACCCTTTCTTGGTAATAAACAATACATTTGAACTCGTGTTTTTGTACGATTATTATTAACACAAAAACTCAAGTGTTACAGATCTGTCCATAAACTCAACTTAATGATTCGTCGACTAAGAATTTAAATTGGTGTTTTTGCATTGTTATTTTGTAGAGAAACAAGTTTTAAAGATCTGCCGATTTAAATCAACAAATTTATTTTTTCTCCATGAAGACGTATTTCCAAGAAACTTAGTAAACAAACTTTCAAACAACTATTCAATGAGTCGACTAATAAGACTTATTAAAGTCGTGAAGTCATTTTTGTAATGCTCTAAGACTTTCCAGGAAAACTTCTCTGGTAAACATATTTTTTTAGTTGTCAAGTAACTTTATTTGAATGCTTAGATTCATTTTGATGACTCTTTTGGGGTTTCCTGAAGATTCAAAGTGTTGCTTTTGCTTGAGCGTTTGTGGAGAAGCTCATTAAATAAGATCTCTCCAATAAAACGACTCATCGATTGGAAAGACCTTGAACGATTTCAAAGACACTTCTCTTCTAAACATAGGATTAAAGTGGTGCTTTCCCATTATTCTCTGTGGAAAAACATCAGTGTTTAAAGATCTGTCAGATATTTTTTACGTTTTATTGTCATTTCTTAATCCATTAAGACATCCAAAGATTTCCAGAAGACTCGTTTAATAAACACAAGATTTAACACCAAACGTTCCCAGTGACGGTCCTTTTGTACTGTCTTAAACCTTTCCTTAGAATATTTTATGAATTGCAAGGTGTCCTTGGGTGCGTTGAAAGGCGCCTCTACATAGAATGAATTATTATGTTTATTATACCTCTGACAGGCAAGTGGTAAAACTACATCCTCGTGAAAAAAGGTCACGTTTGCGTCCTGTTTTCTTGAACACCAGTGTGTGCAGAGGTGAGTTGCACCCTGGCCCGCTGCTGTTGCCTAACGCAGTTTGTTATGTTGTCATGTTGCACAATAGCTCTCCGGTTAGCGCTGCAGGCTGACAGCGAGTGGTTGGCCTGGTCTGATGTGTCCAGGAGATAAGGCAGAGGTGTAAGGTTGCTCCTATCACTGGGAATAACACCAACTGCCACAGGAGGAAGTGTGTGTTGTCTAATGAAGAGGGAGCGGCCGGGTGCAAAGTGGCTGAAGCCGAGCGAATGAGAATCTGTTGTTGTTTCAAACTCCAGCCTTATCTGATGAGATTCTTAACAGCTGAAATTGATTTATTGTCTTATTTTATGAGTTGTTTTTGGCTGCCGGCTGCAGGCGGAAGTGGACAAAGTTGAGCGTGCTTTGGCCACGTCTTCACTGAGGCGGAAACATCTGAATATTGTATCAAGGATAGAGTTGAATAGTGATTTCTGAACACGCTGAACTGAACATTTGTTCTCGTGCCCACTTGTTGCTGTCTGACCTAGTTGTAATATATTTTTATTGCATAAGAATACATCAATCTCAAAAAGAGAAGAGATTATAGCTAAAAGATCATTTCCATCTGCAGTCCCTGGGTTGACAATGAATGGATTCATATGTTGATGTTTTTAAAAGTGGGACAATCTTTAAAAAATGTTAGGTTTTTAGATATTAAAACATCTGAAAAGGAGGTTTTGTTTTCTGTTTGGTTTGTTTTCTTGTTCACTCGGATTACGAAAAATCTATTTTTGTGTTAATGCAACGATTTGTTATTCATCAGAAATGTAGCGCGTTGTCATTAAAAGCTGTGCTCTTTTGATTTCATTTTGGGTAAAAGATGTTGGTACATTTTATAAATAAACAGAAAATTCACTAGGAATAAAGACCAGTTTTATTTTGATGCACATTTGTGTACGTATTTGCATGAACACAGCACATAGTAGTCAAATAAATGCTCTTTTTTTACCTGTATAAATTCAAAATATGTTCTCCTTTTAAATCAATTATTCACTATCATGTCAATATCACTTAAAAATAATCATTATCATAATATTGTCCGCTAGTCTGAAGCCCTACCTTGTATGTTCCAGACACCCCCCTCCTGAGGAAATAACAAACACATGTAGTAAATAAGAGTTGTATTTGTCAGAGTGCTGATTACAGGCTCTATTAGCTCTTCTCCATTAGCAGAAGTCTCTGATGTGCTGCTGCTCAGAGTTTGGACCTGGATTGTTGACATGTTTCTCCCGCTAACCATTAACAGAATGGGAAGTTAATAGGTAGCTTACACCTGGGAATGACTCAGTCAATAACAAGTCAGTGGCACCAAGTAACCCCCCCTCCATCCTCTCCTACAATGAATGTTATTTGTCTATTTTAAGGTGTGTGTGTGTGTGTGTGTGTGTGTGTGTGTGTGTGTGTGTGTGTGTGTGTGTGTGTGTGTGGTGTGTGTGTGTGTGGTGTGTGTGTGTGTGTGTGTGTGTGTGTGTGTGTTGTGTGTGTGTGTGTGTGTGTGTGTGGTGTGTGTGTGTGGGTGTGTGTGTGTGTGTGTGTGTGTGTGTGTGTGTGTGTGTGTGTGTGTGTGTGTGTGTGTGTGTGTGTGTGTGTGTGTGTGTTGTGTGTGTGTTGTGTGTGTGTGTGTGTGTGTGTGTGTGTGTGTGTGTGTGTGTGCAGCTTTGGAGTATGAATGAGCGTGGATAAGCGTTTTGCTTCCAGGCTTCATTTCTGTTAACCCCTTCATGCCGGCTTCATTCAGATCAGACACTGCCATACAGTAATTTCCTCTCTGGAGAAATGATGCTGCAGCCAATGAGAGGAGAGAGACAGAGTGTGTGTGAGAGAGACAGGGAGGGGAGTTTAGTGAAGATGTTTCATGAATGGCGCTGCTCTACAGATCAGCAGTGGTTTTATGGCTTTAAGAGGGAAAAACAAGGTTAATGTTCAATATTCAAGACAAATCTTTTTCTCTGTTATCTCGGTTTCTAACTGTAAGTCTCTGTCAAGGAAACACATGCACCTCTATTAATAATGTGATGTCTTCTTAGTAGGGCTGTGCAATTAATCGTATTTTAATCGCAATTACGATTTTTGGCCTGCCACAATTATGAAAACAACATAATCGAAAAAAACAATTATTTTGCTTTGCTAGGTTGCAACATATTTGATCTAATTAATTTTGGTCTCATTTATTTGTATTTATCATATTTATATATGTTTAGTAGCTTGGGGAAGTGCGCTCCAAAATATTTGTTGATCTTGTTTATTGGTATTTATTATTTTGATATTATTTATTTAAATGTATCATTTATTTAATTTATTTTTGTATTGGTTTTTCAGTTGAATTATACGTTCAGGGTAATCAACAGTTAAAAAGATACTGTTCAAATTATTATTTGTATTTGTTTTAAAGTTCAATAAATGGATTTTTTCAAAGTCAATGAATAATCGTATTTAATAATCGTGATATCAATTATTGACCCAAATAATCGTGATTATGATTTTTGCCATAATCGCACAGCCCTACATCTTAGCAATAATGATACACTAAATATGCGGAAAGACGATTTACTTTACATGTCCGTCAGTATAATAATATTCAAATAATTGGTTCTTTGTCAAGTTATATTGAACTGAGAAGCCTCTGTGGTCTCCTTTGAGGATCATTTCACAGCGTCACCCTGAGATTCAGCTAAATGTGATGGACTACTTTATTGAATAGTTTACTGACTAAAACATGTTTTTAATTCTGGGAAAAAGAAAGTTGAATCAAAACCACATTTGCTGACGTTCTCTGGAACAAAATATAAGTGTTTTAGCTGAGCTATTTTTTAACTGGGGAGCTCTCTGGTATAAAAATATTAAAACTAATGTGTAAAAGGCAGGACAAATCTTCAAAGGTGTCCCAAAAACCCCATAAAAAACAAAGGGGCATGTCATTGCTGCTTAAATGTTCTGTTCTCATTTGTTTCAGCCCCAGTAAACACAAAACATATCTTGGATGATTCATTTGACCTGTATTTTAGGTCTGGTTCATATATGGAATAAACTGAATATTTGGTTTGATAAAAACATGTACCTTGGAAATTATCACTTCAATCTTTTTTCAATACATTTTGACCTTTGTACTTCAAATGCTCTGGAGTTATTAAAACTCTTTGGACCACACACATCTGAAAGAATCCAATTCTACAACAATATAATACTAATAATATAAGTGTAGCATACGAAAAGAAATATCAATTATCAACGTTATGAAATAAAACATGAGTTTCAGCCCCAGTAAACACAACAAATATCTTGGATGATTCATTTGACCTGTATTTCATGTTTGGTTTCTCACAGTTTCTCACATCTCCTTCCCCTTCTTCCTCACAGTCTGCCCGAGCAAAGACATCCGTAACAATGTGACCAACCTGCAGTCTCTGGAGAACTGCACCATCATCGAGGGCCACCTGAAGATCCTGCTGATGTTCAATACCAAGACGGAGGACTTCCGGGGCCTCAGCTACCCGAAGCTGCGCGTGGTGACGGACTACGTGCTGATGTTCCGGGTCTACGGCCTGGAGACCCTCGGAGAGCTCTTCCCCAACCTCACGGTGGTCCGGGGGAACAGCCTCTTCTTCAACTACGCCCTGGTGGTGTACGAGATGCTGCAGCTGAAGGAGGTGGGTTTGCACAGCCTCATGAACATCACGCGGGGTGCCGTGCGGATCGAGAAGAACCCCGACCTCTGCTACCTGGCCACGCTGGACTGGGCCAAGATCTCCGACTCGGTGGAGGACAACTACATCGTGGCCAACAAGAACGACAGGGAGTGCGGAGACGTTTGTCCCGGCACCGCCCAGGGCCAGACGGTCTGCCAGCAGAACACCATCAACGGACACTTCAGGGGCCGCTGCTGGTCCCAGAACCACTGCCAGAGAAGTAAGTGTGTTTTAATCTGCTTTAAACAGCGGAGAGACTGTGGTTTGTTCCTCCTTTGTTCCCATCATTTAGGGTTTAAGGTGACTTACACTTCACTAGGATATGATATGGCTGAGGTCACTAGTTTCAAGTTTCAAGGCTTTTATTGTCATGTGATCATAGCTACAGTGTAGTTATGACAATGAAAATCTTAGGTCACAGGTTCCTCCAACAGTGCAACACAATAAAACAGATAGAATAGTACAAGTAAATCAAATAGAATATAATAGAAACAGAATATAATAGAAACTGTGCAGAATAGTCTGTATACACTAGTCGTCCATGTATCTGCTTTAGGTCCACATTAATTTCTATGACTATGATATCTACACAAAGTTGTTGAATTACCCAAACTAGCAATCCTCCCTGGATTTGAATATGCGTTTGTGCTACTATATCTTTGTTAGACATTGTTTTTTCGCGATGAGCACCAACCAGAAGATTCTTGCTCTCACACTTTGTATGGATGAGCTAACAAGGCTTAGTCTGACAGCCATACAGCGAGGAGGAAGTGTATGGAGATAAAAGTACGACCGGCAGAAACATCCAGTGTTTGCTCGGCTAATTAAAATCAAGCAAATTGTCTTTTTTCGTTCTTTGTTCCGATAGTTCCTGTCTATAAGCCGCGTTCAGAAACAAGCTTCTCCTCCAATAACTAGAGTGACGCCATTTTGTGCTTTTTCTAATATCTTTGGATATCATTAGCTCTGCCCTCTTTGGAAAAAGACGCTGGCGTTAAGAATAAAACGCAAATGTGGACACATGCTCTTCGAAGTCCTAAAAAGACTCTTCTTGTAACTACAAAACCTGTCTGAGAGTATCAGATATTATGGTTTCCTTTAGTGTCAAAGAGAGTGATCTTTACACCCCTGGGTTCATTGCAAACAGGAACTGCTAATTGCTTATCCTGCAAACGTTTTGATAGTTCCAATTTGTCATGAAGTAAAATAATACAGGGTACAAACCAAGGCTTGAGTTACATCCCCGCAGCTCTAACTAACTGACTCCATGAGTGTCATTTGACTTCCTGTTTACATCCGCAGCAGTTGTGTCAAATGTCTCCGTCATTTGATTAGAGAGTCGTTTGTTGTGAGGTGTTAAACCGGTCGGATACTCTCTGTTTAACTGTAACGCTGTGTGTAGAAATCTCCATATTGACTGGCTGTTACGTGCACACATGATAGCGTAGCACCTTTTCCAGAATCCATCACATTGTAAAACGGTCCATTGAGACACATAATGATAATATGCACTGGAGATTTTCTTTCCTCCCAGAAATCAATTTAGACGACCGCTGTTTTCATGGCAAATGGTTTCTGTAATGATTTCTGCGATGTGGAGGGCTGCTCCTCATATCAGCAGGCGGGGGTCTCTCTGACTAGCATTCATTGACTGGAGCATTGTGGGAAAGTGATCTGTAATTATAGGATCTGCTGGAAATGACTCACAGGGAAGTGAAAAGGTAGAATAATAGTCTATTTGTGAACCTAGAAATGTTGAGTACCACAAAGTTTTATGATAGAAATGTGTAGTAGGGGCCCCCAGCATATCAAAACTGCCAGATGCTCACTTGCATATGTGGGGCAATTTGCACCATTACTATAAGTAGCATTAATTAGCATTATTTAGCATATGAGGAAAATATTACAAAAATGGCTGGACCTATTAGGACAATTTTGGAGTGGTGTTGGTGGTCAGTGAGGATGCTACATCCATTTCTGACATTTTCAGGATCAAAATTGGCAGTTTTAACCAGAAGATACCAACATTTGTACTCTTGGTGGGGCTGATTTTGATATATTTTGGGTTGATTTGGAAGATTTATGGGACTCTGGATCATTTGGATTTGACATATTGCCTATTTATCTGAAAAATAATTGTTCACAGTAGAGATAATCATTTTCATCTTGTGCTCTCTATATCCAATGGTCGCAACACTACTCATTGTAGTCAAAATCAGCCCACAGAGAGTACAAATATGACCGCTTTCTGGTTAAAACTGCCATTTTTGATCCTGAGAATGTCAGAAATGGACTCGGCATCCTCAATAACCCCCCATAACCACTCCAAAATTGTCCAAGCCATTTTTAATTATAGTCCACATAGTCTATAATGCCATTAGTGCTATGCTTATGCTAATTGTGCATATGCAAGTTAGCATCAGGCAGTTTCTATGTGCTTGGGACCCGTACTTTACATTTCTATCATAAAACTTTGGGGTACTCAACATATCCGGGTTGGAAACTACACTAATAAGGGAAGCATGTGATGAAGGAGGGATTTGATTGACAGGAACACAGTAAAGCATATTGTTTGTTAAAAATGTTTCATATTTTTCTCAAACAAGCTGTGGGTTTGCTCGGCTGCAGCCAGTGAGTCGGCCGGTCAGTCTTTCCTCCCATAAACACAGAGAGGCTTCTATTGTGAGACGCATGGAGAGAATGCTTATTATTTTTCCAAGGCGATTATAGCTTGTGTTGTTTTTTTTTCTCCTCTGCTTCTGACTGAAGGGCTGACGTTCAAAGCGCAGCGACCTCGGCCATGTTTATACTTTAACAGCGACTGTTGCAGCCGCACATAACGCTGGCTCCTCCACTTCCTGCCAGAGATCACTGTCGGGAACGAAATACAGGAAATACTTTTATTTGAGTGTGTCCCTGTCCTACACATACATACAATGTCTTACAGTTCCAATCTTGTGTAAAGCATTCAATTTGTTTAATAGGTGAGGTATAGCCAGCTTCTGCAAGGCTACATTTGGGGTGAAATAAAGTATGGAGAGTTATTTTTAGGATTATCTATGAACAAATGCATAATATATATCTCACACATTCAGATGTTTGAGACAGCTGTAGTACACTTTTTAATTACTCATTTTGAAGGTGGTGATTACTGGAAGAGGACATTTAATTTTGGCGCATTTCCTATTGCTTAAAAGGGCCCCAAAGTTGTGAAAAATGTACCAATATTTTTAGTTGCGCAGACAATAGTCACCCCCCAAATTTGCATTTAATTTCCAACACTAGTAACACCCACTTCTTCTTGTATTCCCACTGTCCCTGCATGCTCAGTTTCCTCTTTAATCACTTTGGTAATTCCCCTCACTAACAGTTTTTCCTCCTGCGTTGAGACGCTTGATTACTACCGGCGCTGATTTCAAAGATAAACCTCCCGACCATTAAAAGAAAAAAGAATGTGGACTGAGTGTGTGCAAACGACCCGTTGTGCGTGTGTGTTCATGTCTCCTGAGTTTGGGAGGGGCCGGGGGGGCCACAGGTATGACGAGCAGCAGCAGCAGCAGCAGCAGCAGCAGCAGCAGCAGCAGCAGCAGCAGCGGGTCATGTGACTTCACTTCAGTCAGGAGTGTGTGTCGAAGCAGGAGCCATTTCTAGCACATGATGCAATGCTGTCTGCCCCCAGGGAGGACACACACACACACACACACACACACACACACACACACACACACACACACACACACACACACACACACACACACACACATACACATACACATACACACACACACACACACACACACACACACACACACACACACAGGCATTATTTGCATACACTTACTGTAAATGCATGTGTGTGTGATATCTGTGTGTTCAGGTGCGTGTCCCCACTGGAGGTGAGGGCCGCGGTTTGACTTGTTCTTTCCCTGCAGAAGCAAAATGAGTCCTTAAACCGTGCTGTTTCTAGATCAGAATGATATGCTTATTTAATTTGAATTATTACAAGGCTTTGTGTGTCATGTACACAATAGTTATAGTGTAGTTCTGGCAATGAAATCTAAAGTCTCAGGCTCCTCCAACAATGCAACGTATAATATGGTGAACAGAAAAGAAAGAAATAACAGAATGGAAGAATATAAAGTGCAGTAAACATTATGGTGAAAGTATGTTGCAGGAAAAAGAAAATGTCTTATCTTATCTTAAAAATACAAGTATAAAAAGTATAATTAGTTCGACATCACTTTATAATAACAGTATTATCAGTGATTATTTAAAAATGTAAATAGTTTATTTGCAGTTTTTTGTGCTACAGCCATGTTTCTGTCCCTCGAGGTGTGTGTGTGTGTGTGTGTGTGTGTGTGTGTGTGTGTGTGTGTGTGTGTGTGTGTGTGTGTGTGTGTGTGTGTGTGTGGTGTGTGTGTGTGTGTGTGTGTGTGTGTGTGTGTGTGTGTGTGTGTGTGTGTGTGTGTGTGTGTGTGTGTGTGTGTGTGTGTGTGTGTGTGTGTGTGTGTGTGTGTGTGTGTGTGTGTGTGTGTGTGTGTGTGTGTGTGTGTGTGTGTGTGTGTGTGTGTGTGTGTGTGTGTGTGTGTGTGGCAGAGGAACATTAGATGGAACATTAAAGTTTATGTGTGAGTGGAAACTGTGGCGTTGTTTTTGTTGTGTTTTTACAGGGTTCCACTCGCCTTAGGTTAGAGCCGAGGAGAGCCTGCATTCCTCTGATCTTACACATGCTCCTTACAAGCAGGAAAACCACTGTGTGTGTGTGTGTGCACCAGAGGCCGGTTCAACCTAACCTGGATATGTTTGAGTTAGCCGGTTGGCGTAATCCAAAACATACGCGCTCTGGCTAAACTACTACGACGCTGGATATCAAGTGGATCGCTCAAGCCAGCCGTGTCCTATCTAGTTAGGTGCACGTTCACATGAAAGGGGTGGTATTTGGAGCATTCGACCAATCTCAAACACGGACAAGCGTACTGACAGCGCAGCGTCATACTTCCTGAATGAAAAGTCAACTTTAATATTAGTCAAATATGAAGAAGTTAAACTTTAAACATCCATGACTTAAACACTTTATCCAGGATCAAAGCCACATAGCTGCACCTGCAAGGTGAATACAGCTGGTAACAGAAAAAGCGTTTGAATGCGTACATTAACAGGTTTATGAAATCACTGCCCCGTCCAAGACACGATCTGACTTTAATTAGGAGAATTTGACTC